TCAGACAAACTGGCTGCAACGCGTGAAAAAGACCTGCGGCTGTGATTATATATAGTTTGTCTTGAAGCTTGAGCAGTTTCATAGCAGAATCTATTGGTGCGGCTTACACAAAGTCTTTTGTAGCCTTTGCATGCCTTTTTAGCTTTGCAGCGGTAAACGCAGCAACGGTATTTTGCTCAAGCCGACACAATAATATCTGAACACCCAATTAGGTTTTAGACTAGAGAAGTTGTCCAGTTTTCCTGGCCGTTTGGTGGGAGAGCGGCTGGGAGGTATATCAAGCAAGTGCTGAATGCTGAGGTTTCAGCAGTTTTGTCCAACCAATCAGTGTGAGTGCTCTTCAAGAGCGGTATTTTATTTTAATCGAATGGTTACTTTCTTTATGCTCAAGAGCTAAGCCATCGGGACTCAGATTTGGGGGAGCAATAAATTGTAGCAGATAGTTGGTCTCTTAACAGCAGCAATAGCTGGACCAGCTGCATTGGTTGCACGAAGAAAGCAAGACAACTGTGACAAACGTATTTTCATCTTTGCAACACTGATATTTTTCTGATCAGCATTTGCGATCAGTGTGTCTTTTTTGCGCTGGGTGCTGGGTGCAAGAGTTTCTAAAGTGCAAACTAAGAAACCGAAAAGGCCGAAGCATCCGGGGAATTCTGGCAAGACACGCTGCACTTGTCAAAAGAAACTGCCAGCAGATGATGCTTTCAACACTAGCTTCCCCTACAGGCATCAAAGGTTCCTACACTTGAACGCGGAAAGCTGATGTGAAGAACTCGAGAGCTACAGTACCTAGATTTACACTTACTGTAATTGTGTATATACGATGATGCATGCGCACTGTATATGCGCATGTTTTATGTGTTACTTGTCTCACACATCAGATCCAAGTACCACCAATTTAATGTTTGCGGCTATTTGACTGGTACTGTTATATGAAGTTGTGGGGCAAGGACAGGCAGACAAAGAAAGCTAGTTCTTTGGTAAACACTTTTGTGTCTTCCATTCTGGGTGCGAGTCACAGGTATCCAAATCCTAAAGAAATCCATGCGGGCCAAGGCAGACCTTTTTTCCAAGGGAGGAGAATGACAGTCAGGCAGGACATAGTAAAGCGTCCGCGGCGTCTCTGGTGTGAATCAGTGGCAATGCTTTGTTTGCAGGAAGATTTGAAAACCGTATGCGAGAAGCATACGGACAGCAATTTTGTCTCCTGGGAGGCGTGGACCTCAAGACACAGTTGAAGATTGTAACATATGCATGACGCAGACCCTGTCAATCAAGACATTCTGCAGCGTTTTGCTCGATTTGTCCTTGCTCATTTTAAATCGATATCTCAACTTTTATCCCGGTCACCTTTTGGCTTATAGAATGGGAGGGGTCAGCCCCTCCTAGAAAACGACTTTTTATAGATACCAGTAGGTAGGAGAATAGGAGGGGAAGGGTTGCCCCTGCCCATTTTATAGAGAAAGCCGGCTTGTTGCAGTGCATGTACATGCTTTTGTTTAGTTTTTGTGAATCAATGTGAACTAGACTCATCCTTCCCGTACCCGTTTGATCATCAATTTGATCAAGATGAGCGCTCCTGCTGGATTACCGATTACCGGGTCCATACAATGTCAGAAGATGTCCTGGCAAGATGGAGCCTTTGGTTTGCAATGAGAAGCATCAGTGTTGGGTATCGAAGCAGAAACACATTTGGTGTATTTAAATACAATTGCTTGTAGGTTGCCCTTCGAGCATTGGGGCCCAGCCCAGCAGACCTGGCAGGATCTGGGAAGCCTATAGGCCCACCTTTTCTCTATCACCCCACCTCATCTCTATAAAGTGGCATGCCTTGACCCCCTCACCATTGCATAAACAGGTCTGCCTGTAGACCTGTTGTGGAAGTATTTCTAGGGCCTACAGCAGAATTCCTTATGGCAGGGTGAGCATTGCCAGTGGCCAACATTTATGCATATAGCTTTGCAGTTTTACATGTGCGTGTGCCTTTGGGCAACAAAATTCACAGCATTGAGGCCAGTCCAGCAGACTTTGCAGATCCTCGTAGGGCCTGGCAGCCCCCCAGCCCCACCTCATCTCTATAAAGTGGCCTGCCTTGACCCCTCACCACTGTAGAAAGGTCTGCGTTCGGACAAGTTTCAAAAAGCACGTGGGGACAACATGCCAGTGGCCAACAGTGATTAATTTTGGTGTACTAAAAACATGTACTTGTGGGTTGCAGTTTGGATAAATAAAATATTTTCACAGCATTGGGGCCCAGCCCAGGAGACCTGGCAGGATTTGGGAAGCCTATAGTCACACAAAAAAGTTCTGCCTGTGAGACTTGTTGTGGAAATATTTCTAGGGCCCACAGTCCAAAGCAGCATTCCTTGTGGCAGGGTGAACATTTTGATCAAGTTTTGGACGCATTGTTTTTTTGGGGCAAAACAAATAAATCATTTGAAGTAGTGCAAGATGAGTCAAGCTTCAAAAACCAATAAAGATATATCACAGACAAATGCTGCCCCTTTTATCAGAAGACAGAAAGCGTAAGACAATATTGAAAAATGACGTTCGGTGTTTTCACTTTCTATACATTCATTTTGGGTAGGCCTGCTCAATTTATACATGTCAGGGGGTGGGGTCCCCTATTTTAATTTTGTACCTATAAAATGGCTAGAAAGACCCCCCCTGGTGAAAGTTACGGGGGGTCAACTGTTGACATTAATGGTGCGCAAACTTTTCTTAATATGATTTTTCGGCTGTTTGGCAGCAAAGCTTCCGTGAGTGTGACTTACACCTCATGTTAGCCATGCGAAATGGAAAGTCAGGAGACAATCATGCAGGCGTAGAGGCGGATCGGTTTGTGTCCAACCACATCATATGGAAGAGACAAATGTTTCCAACAAGAGTGCAGACAACAACAACTCCAAAGTGCAGACGTTGCTTGGGTTCAGGTGGCGGGTGTATTGTAAGGGGTGGGGATTTCCATCAAGTCTAACAATAGTTTATTTGCTGTGTCTGTATAATCTGATCTTTTTAGCACCTTTTGTTGCCAAGGTTTTTACATCCTTGCTATATGTTTTCTTGCGGTGATTGGAGTGGGATGGAGATGCTGACATATTTTTTTGTTGGAGGTGCATCATTGTATCGAGATTCATTGCATTTTTGCATGTTACAAGTCTTTTTGTCGGTCCTTTTCTGGAACAACGCGCTCATACGCATACATCATACAAGAGGATGTTTTACTTGCGAATAGTTAGCCTCGTTTTCATTGCCACCTATGACATATGCCCAAACATTTGATAGACCTTGGCCTGCCAAGATGATGCCTGTGAAGATGCTCAAATGGATGTTGGTTTGAACTGTGTACTTCCTCCACTTCAAGGACATGTTGCAAGAGCTGTGCTGCGGTGGGCGGGACCTTCCCAAAATTCATAGATGTTTGTTACTCAATGGAGCTGCAAAATGCTGCTACCACAGCAAATGATCAGAAACAACAACAAAACATAAAAAGCATTTCTGAACAACTCTGCTGTAATTTCTGTTCTCGATGCTGTGCTGTTTTCATTATCATTTCTAGCTTCCCTTTTGAACGTCTGACAAACAGAGGTAGCTGTTAAGTGCCACCGCTTCCAAAGCAGGTAGCCTCCATTTTGACTACCAATGTCAGGTATTCCTGAACATAAATCCTGATTTGCAGGGGGCACCCTTATTCTCAAGCACGAACACTGATTTGTGAAATTTAGCAGTCTAGGGAAAACTTCCTAGTTTGCGAAGCTGGGAAGAGAAGTGGCCGTCATGCCGGAAGTGAGAGAGGAGCGTTCCACATTGAAAGCAATGCGCATGCTTCGTCGCTGTTTGAGTCCATTTATACTTTTGATTGCCGAGGCAGTGCGCGATGCAGCCTGACTCTTTGATTTGACTGGGATTTGTCAAGTGCAAACATGCTCCAATCACCTTCAGAGCTTCAGAGTATTTCAAACACCCATGACATGTTGTTTATCTCAGTATGCAGACCGAAGCAACAATTGAGGTCACAACCTTCCTCATGCGCCTCATTTCAACTGAGCCTCGTATTCGGGAGTACGTGCGAAAGGACCATTGCTGCTTTGACATGAAATACATGTACTGAAAAGCAACAACAGGTCGCATTGTTCCTACTAGGAACAAGAAGCTACTAGGGGCTCCTCGCCTTTCTACTAGGAGCAAGGACGCTACTTACTAGGGGCTCCTGGCCAACAACAACAACAGGTCGCATTGTTCAACAGAAAGGGATGCTTCAGTGTTGTGGAGAACATTTTCTCGCTATTGGTCCACCGTGGCTTTTGCACTTGGCAGGGAGCTGCGCACAGCCTTTTCATAATATAGGAACCTAATTGTAACTTGAGGTGGTGAATCCGCAGTTCTGGTGGAATGCAATTTTTCTAGAGATCATCCGAGCTACCTTTGTTGGCCCTTCAGTGCAATCCCGTTGCCGGCCTTGCATCTGAAGACCACTGCAAGTCATGCAAAGGAGTTTTGGAAGCTCTGCACGATCTCGGCCAAAGTTACGGAAGCCTTCTGGCTGAAATACGGGTATATACAGTAGTATACAGTAGTTTTTTTTTTTCCAAGGGGCCTGCACGAATCTTGATGATGGACAGCATGTAGCAAGGGTGGCCACAAAAGGACGCCGGCTCATCACAGAGGGGTCTGACTGTTATTAGAACTTGAAGGGGCTAGCATAAAGGCATACACGCTTCACTCATGTTGAGTTCTTTGGATATGACAGTCTCCAGCCAACCTGATGGTCCTTTCTGCATGGTCCAGTTGTGAACAAAGATCATGTGATGGCCATTCCCTTCCTGCTTGGTTCTTTGTTCTTTGTGCCATGAAGGCTGGCCGAGTGTTAGCCAAAGAAGCTGCACATTCTTTCAAAGAGCCGCAACCACAGATGACCTGTTTCCGCAGAAGGCATCCAGTCTTCATTTCAAAGTAGTACATTTGCTATAGTTATTGGGAATTGGCTATGTCGGTTCCACCCACCATCCTGACCAAGGTCATACAGAGGCTTTCATGTCACTTATCGCCCAGTCACTTGCTGAGAGTGCAGAGACATCTCCAACTGAATCAAAAGAATCTTGTGCTGATTCCTGCTGTCTAGGTGTCAAAGTTTGATGAACGAGGGAGTCTCTTTCTTGAGATGATGCAATTGCAACGTAAGGCTTGACCGATACTTTTGTTTTGTTTCAGTGTACATACAGTATATATACAAACGCGTGTGGATGCTTCTTGGAGAATTGGAGAGGCGCCTCAAGATCCTCCTTCACATGGAGAGAATATACTTGCTCCTTTTGAGGGCTACCACCCAGCTCTGCGGACCCCAACTCTGAATGTTGTGTCCTTTGGGTGTTGGCCACAATGGTTCGTCCTGGGATACTTTTGGACGCATGAAGATAGTAAGCATGTGAAGATGTCGACCTTCTAGGAAGGTGAACTCACTACAGAAAAACGTAGGTCCTTCCACCGCGCTCAAATAAACACAACGCACACAGTTCGAAGGTCTGAAGGCATTCTAGTTGATCTGTAGTTGACATCTTATCGAGTTTCCACCTGTTTCAGCTCTTTTTCGACATGCAGGTTGCAAGAGCAAGATGGAAACAATACACAACTGGACAGCCATTTCGATCTCCACTCAGCCAGGCCATCCGAACAGCAATGCTTCAAATCAGGAATCGCGTGCTCAACATTGCCCAACCCCAGCACTAGCCAATATCGCCAAACATCACCTTTTGCTCAAGTACTCTACGGCCGCAACACGTCTAACAGCTGTAGGATAGCTGATGCCCCGGAGATGCCTTGACTTCAAGCCTTCCAGCGACCCGTGCCCAATGTGATGCCTGATTCTTTTCTGCGCCGGCTGAGTCAGCACCAGCGTAGACATACTGTTCCAATTGAAGGGTCCCGAGCCATGCAGGATGGGCCTCCCGTAGCGCCATCCCTGTGAATGTGACAGATCTCTTCTGATAGCTTGTTTGTCATACACGGTCATTGTCATTGATTAACGTTTACGGATCAGAGAGCTCATTGCTATTGCTATTCAGCTATTCTTGGACAGGGCCTCATCACCATTGACTATGCATTGGTTGTTGCTTGGAGCTGAGACAGATCCGGCCACGAATAATCATGAACATGTCTCTTGATCACACTTATAATGACGCAGAACGCAGAACCATGATAAACTTCACTTGCATTTTGGGGATGCATCACAAGAAGCTTTGAGCTTCTCTTGCAGCCTCAGTGGACATAGCTCAAGCGACCTGAACCTTTGGCCCCAGGAAGATCCACGAGATGAAAGGAAAAAGATTGCCACTTGGTCACCAGTGCTCTGGGATTCGTTTGCGGAGTTGGAGAAAGGAATACGAATCTCCAGTCTGGACAAGCTTGAGGCATGCCATCGGACCATATCGAACCATATCGGACCTAGACTACAGTACACCAAACTGTTTGGAGAATTAAGTGCGAAAAGTGAGATGCTGTATTACAATATATATATACACACATACACATACAAATATAATCTATAAGGATATAATATGCGTCTAATCTATGTATCGAATCTAGATGTTTATTTTGAGTGGACACTTGTCCCTTGCGAAAGCTCAGGTCACTGCTTGCCACAGCTACCATGACCTGATCAGGCGAAGAAAGCCATCAGCTCACCCAGCACGCGGTTGGAATTATCGGTTAAAAGGCACCCCTACTTCCATGATAGGCAGACATTGCAAGGAAATCTCTCCACAGCTGGGTTCCAAAATGCGTCAAAGAAGTCAACACAAGCAAATTTGTTACGGCGACGGCCCTTCAAAGACAGATCAATCCCTTCATTTGGCACAAAGATAGAGGGTCAGATTGCTTGTGTATATATATATAATATATATATGGATGCTTGAATTGGACTTTTCTCCTGACTACTCTGATGGGTGAGAAATTATCAAGATGCTACCTTCTTTTTTTGGTTTCATCATCAACAAGCTCCACCTTTTGTATTCATCTCAGGGTGCTGTATCTCAGTTCAAGTCGTTCTGTCAACTGTCTTGGAAATCAGTCTCTCTCTCTCTCTCTCAATCCAAACATACTCCTGGTGCACTCCTGCCTACCACAGGTCATAATATGTATCCCAAAGCGCCGCAAACTGTCCGGTTTTGGCCCACTAAGCCCCGGGCATATCCTTCTGTCACTGGGCCAACGAAATACACATTGCTTGATCACTTGCCTGGTCCACTGGATAGTATAGGAATCAAAGATGATCGATGTGCTGATGTGCATGCTCGAATTGGCTTGTGAACACTTCAGGCTGTCAACAGCAGGAAAGGGGTCGCAACAGAAAATGCACTGGGGTGTTTGTCAACATCCATCCAAAGCAAGTAGAATGGGCTGAGTCTCCTTGCATCATGTAGACTTATCACTGCACGTCACTTTTCCTATTTTCCAGGCCAAACGACTGTGACTAAGTGTATGTTCCACATGTTCCTCTGTATGCAGGAGGCAAATGCAACAACACATGCATGACAGGCCGTCAATCAGGCTGTCAGAACTTATGGCTTTGGTCCTTATTTCAGAAGAGACTAGGACTAGAAGCTGCTACCTCCTAATAATGGAAGTGTACATCATGAATGGGATAGCTGCACAGCACAATATCTGGCCAGGATAAAACAGCGCCTTACTGCGCACTCTGCGAAGAGGCATAAGCTTCGGGGCCCAGCCATTCAGATTGCCTGGGGTCAGACACCCTCCGACCTTGCTGTTTGCAGCTTTTTGTGCAGCTTGCAAGTATGAGGAAATCTATCATTTGATGAAGGTCACTGTTATCATATTTTTGTGAGGACAATGATCGTTGACCAGGGATGTCCTGCTACTCGTACTTAGACTATTGTAGCTTTGCTTGCTTTCCTGCGGAGCGCTGGCGGTGCTCTCTCGCATGAAATCAGTCTTCACCTCATTGCCCGTGCCATCTACAGCAGTTTGACTTGGACACTTCTGACTTTGAAACAATCACATCTTTATGTATATCAGTAAAATACAATTAAGAGTTCTGGCAGGACCGGAGTCAGCTCTTTTCTAGAGTTTGACAGTTTGATGGTTTTGGCTTCTTTTTGAGCACGTAACATGGCGGTTTCACAGAGATTTTGCCTGTACTTCCTCTCTTGACACACACATATACATATATATATATATATTATTTTTTATAATATATATAGAGATTATAGAGGGACTATATATAGTGTATAGTATTCGAGGAGCTGTCCTTTGGGATTTCCACTCCGCCTTTGCTTTCCCACCTTGCTCTTGCAAGATCCATCTCGAACACTTGAGTCCCTTGAGTCATAGCTGCGTCTAAGCCTAAGCTGTATGTTGTAGGTCCCACATGTACTTGTGTATAATCATTGTTTTTACGAATTCAAGTCATCCGAACCAAAACAATGACAAACAGACCCCTTATTACCCACCTGACCCATATGTGTGTATACATGCACATAGAAGGAAACCACCACTAACAACAATGCAATAGTAGTTCAGTCAGTTCCTTCTTTACTCATCACGCTTGGCTGGGAATTGTATATATATAATTGATTGCCACCTTGGATCTGCCAATGACATTGATGCCAAATCATTGGAAGCGTGAGCTATCCAGCGTCCAGTTCCTAGTAGCTTCCTGTTGCTAGGAGCCATTTTACTGCCTTACTTAATTAAGTAGGCACCTACTTAATTAAGTAGTAAGGAGGCAGGGCCGAGCAGGCAACAAAAAGAATGAATTCATCGCCAATGACATTGATGGATTCGCTCAAATGTGCAGCCCGCCAAGTCCAGAAGAGCATATGCCCAGCGACCCAAAACTTCTGGCATTGTGGAATCGCTGCGAGGACGAACTCGCCAACTGCACAGAATGGTTAGAAGAAGACGTAAACGACAAGAAAAAGGTCCTTTTTGGTAAGAAGAAAACGACTAGAAAGGAAGGTCCAACAGGACAAACACATTTCACATTTTTCTGCCTTTTGAAGTGAGGATTTGACTCAAAAGCTTGAGGCCGCAGCGCGTTTGAAGGAGGCCCACTTCTGCAAACTGACTACGAGTTGACTCTGAATAAAACAGCTGAATTTTCAGACTCCTGGTAGGCGGAGATGAGGAGGCAAGCAGCCGGATCAGACATGAAGGCGAAGGCAGAAGCAGATGGTGTCTTTGAATGTGCAAGACATGTTCCTTTGTCTCAAAGCCTTCAAGCAGATTCCAATGCCAAGTGCATTCTCTTTGTTACAAGTGAGGAGATATTCTAGAGTGAAATCAGACTGGTGCAATGAATTGATTGGAAAAGCGCAGGTCACTTCATCTTACAAGTCCAGCACCAATCACGACCGTATTATTACTGAAAATAATATTCTGAAAACTGTTGTTGAGGTCAGCTGGTATGGTCCTGGACATGGACCATTTGAGCTCATTCATTGTGCATGCGCCTTAGTATTCCTCAAGAAAGCTGCCTCACGCCTTGGGGCCGGGCACGAGCTTCCCAAGTGTTTCTGCATCCAAGGCCCCTAGGCTGCTAGTAGCTGCCTCTCTATTCACCTTCCTAAGGTTGGAGGCCATCGCTCGTAGTAACAAGGGCATTACTACTAGTAGCTAGAAGCTACTAGTAACAAGGCCATCTAGTAGGTTGGAGGCCATCGCTAGTAGCCACTTGGTTCCTTCTACTGTAGCTACTCTCCCTCCATTCCCTCAATGTTCAGCCCCCGCCAAATTGTCCCAGGCAGGATCCTATCTATGAGAAGCTTTCTTTGATGTACTGTGTGACCGTCGCTTGAGCCTAAGAGTCAGCAAGCCTGGGCGATCACGTATTTAGCATGACACGCTTGAAACTCAAGAGAATGCATGCGCTGTAGGAAGAGACTTCCACAAGCTTTGCTGTGCTGGACTCTCCGTGGAATACAATGCGAAGGTTGGCAAAGCCAAATTAGAGCACTGCAAAGTGCAATGGAAGATGCTTGAAGCAGTTGGACAAGTACGAAAGCTGCTTCTGGAGCCATTCGACATGTTTGAAGGACCATTTTACGGCGAGCTCTGCAAGAGGAGTTGGGAGCTTGGCTCCAGAGTCACACGAGGCGACTTTTCTGTGGAGATTCTTGAAGAACAGGAGTTCTTCGGCAATGGACCCTGGAACCCAGGCTTTACCCAATGTTCTGGGCTGAAGTACAGGAGATGCAATCGAGTCTGCTCTTGCAGAGTTCTCTCGAGGAGTGCTCTCACACGTCAGGACTACCTGATGAAGATGAGCAGCCAAGTGGTTTGCCAATCATTGAGGGACAAGCACGGCTCCAAGAACGCTGCAGGTGTTGGTCTGAAGGTCCTAACAACGAAGAAAGGAAGCACACGAAGAAAAAACATAACACAAGAGTCTTATATAATAAAGAGCACACAAGGAAAAAACATCACTGCAGGATTACTGTAAGGGCAAGGCATTCCAATCGTTCGCCTAGGGCCTAGGGTCACCGTAGAGAATAAAGTTCGCGAAAAAGGGATGCAATTAATTACCGTCAATACTCCGTTTGAATGCCCGAATACTCATTCAATTCAGAACTCATGTGTTTCTTTGTGGAAGATGGGGAAGGAAGTAAGCGACTACGATAAGGTACTACCAGTAGCTTGAGAAGCCACATGGCAGGATGGAGCAGGGCGAAGAATCCTTCGCATTGATTTGTTTCCAAGATTTTCCCGAGAGCGTCCGAGCGAAAGGTTTTCTAAAGAGTGGTGTTGAATCACTTCGTGCCGCATCTTCACACAGGGATTCCCTTTGAATTTGTTTTTGTGTTTGTACTCAACTAGCAGTTTTGGAGCACGCGGGCAATCCCACATTGATTGCCCAACGAAGAGGGCTGCCAATGTGGCTGATATCCGGAAGGGATGCCTTCTGGACGTACCTGCGTCGTTGTGGTGATCTTCCATAAAGGGCAAATGCATTCTGCAGATGTGAGCGGCCGCCTTCATTTCGTCCTGTCGTCGCTTCGTCACCTCGTGGATTGGACCTTTGGCATCCGACTCGAGATGATCCGTTACATGACCTTCTCAGGAATATGGTTACCCAGGTCGCCGTGTGGCCAGTACGCAATCTCTCGAGTGTGTGTGTGTGTGTCCACCCCTGGACAAAGGGTTTCGTCCAACTGATCCACCGATCACCTTTTCCACCTGTGATTCACATGCAGGGGCGTCCAACTGATCCACCGATCACCTTTTCCACCCGCGAGTCACATGCAGGGGGATCAGGCTTCCAGCGACTAACCTGATCCAACGAAGCTGGGTCGCTGGAAGGGAAGTGGTTGAGGACGCTCAACCATGTACCTGCGAAGTTTTCCACAAGCTGTTACTCCACTCTTCCACGGTTTGTTTCATAGTTCTTCATGATACCTCCCACAAACCCACCGCCACCTTGCGCCGCTTTGCAGCCGACTTTGCGTGTCAGATCGTTTTTGAGTGCAGCTGCCAACATTGTTCAACAATACGGTTTTTGCGGACTCATGCACCTTGCCGTTCCTTCACCTTCCTTCTCAACGTGGGAACTGAGTTCACTGAATACAAGTGTCAGAGTGTGTTTCGCTCAGCCGTCCCACTCGGGTGCTGAGTGTGATCCCCGTCACAGGGGCGCTGTTTTTTGCATCGGAATTCAACCACCCCAACGCACCACTTTTCACTGGACCTTCACCGGAAGTCACGGCCACCCCCATAGAATCAACTGATGCATTGGCCGCCGGGCCCAAACACGGCAGCTTTCTCTTCCACCGGCTTTCCGATCAGTCTTGCACGTCGTTTTCTGCACGATCTCACACGTTGTACGTTTTGATTTGTGCCGTGACCTTTTCGTCAGCAGAACTCAAGCTTGCACACTGGACTTCTCAACTCTAATTCGAGATGCATCACCACACCTGACAACAAGTTCACATATCACACCCAGCTCAGCTTCACAACACACTTCCTGTCAACACGAGCAACGCGACTTTCAACATCACCATGACAATACAATTTTGCAATCTCAGCTGCACCATTGCTGTTGCGCCGCGCCGTGCCATTGCGAAGCCTTTACTACACAGCGCTGCATTTCACCACCGACACGTTCGACTACGTCATGCATTTTCCCTGGCCATATGCTCATGCCACACCACCACCACTACCCACTACGCAGCCTCAGCCCACATTGCCGCTGCCGCAGCCACAAACCGCACCCACCTTTCCATCACCACATCCATCGGCATTTCCTTATACACAACCACAACCCTATCAGGCTCCACCTACCATGCCTATTCCAACTCCTACTGCGCTGTCCTACGGCGCTCCCTCAGCCTGGACGATTGTGCAACCATCTCAGCCGCCACCACAACCCACACACCCAACCCCAGTTTTTCCATCTATACAGCACCTCCCCCTTCTTACATGCTGCCACAAATACATCACACACCACCTACAGAACCTACCACCACTACGCAGATCCAGTCACCTCCAGCACCACAACAAGCAACAATAGCTCATCATCCACCCACAGACCCGCAGTGGACTATGCCCCAGGGAGTTTGGCAACCCTACTCAGCATTTCCCCCAGTCACACAACCTTCACCTCAACCTTTGCCTCCGCCACCGCCTCCACTAGCCATTGGCGAATCACCACCAGCTCCACCCTCACTCCCACAACCGGCACCATCGGACCTTACAGCGCCGGTCCACAACGTCACCACGTCAGCCAAGGACCCTGCAGCACCGGTCCAAAACGTCACCACTTGAGAGCCACTGGCTCCCAACCATCCCCATCACCATCCATTGCATCAGCCCCACCAGCCACTGCACCTTCACTACCTGCAACGGACAAGCCCGACAGCACCGCTTCACCAGCACCGCCACCACCTTCCCCACACCCACATCACAGCAGTCGCCGCCACCACCACAAGAGCCGGCGCAAGTCTGATCATCACCACCGTGGCCGTCACCACCACCGCCGCAGGCATCGACATCACCGCCACTCAAAGCATCACAGCGCCACCCGGCGACGTCGTTCGCCCTCAACCTCCACTTACTCTTACAGCCCCACACCTTCCCGCAGCCGCTCCCCACAACCCATCGATTTGCGCCCCAACACCGACAACACCAACACCGACCCCTCTCAATACCCCACCACAGCAGTCCTTCGTCGCCCACTCAACCGCTGGCGACCTCCGCCCAACTTCCAAGCTCTTTCACCTACAGACCAACTTCTTGAATGGTTCGAATTTCACGCCAACCAACTCGACACCCCCAGCCGACCACAGCACCAGTACATCGCCAATCTCCTTACCGACTGCAACATCACCTACAAGGAGATTACCGATTTCCGACAATACAGCCACGCCAAGTGGAATGAAACCACTCGCCAATACGACCAATTCCAATACAACGCCATCTCACTTCCCTACCTCAACACCAAGGCCACCACACCCGAACCACCCGCGGTTTCCCGAGCCACTTCAACCCACCGGGAAGTCGCGCACATCAATGCCGGCCATACAGGCCCAGTCGGCAACATTGCCAACATTTTACGCCAAGGTCGGTTTCTACCCAGCACACTCCACTTTGCCAACTACCCTGGCTTTTTTGCCCAGGGCATCCGCATCACCCACAATCCACCCCACGACCAAAGCGAGTTCTCTTGCATCATCCACAACACTTGGCAACTCCACAAAAACACCCACTCAATCATCATCACACTCCTCGCCTGGGGTGCAGCCACCAAATACACTTCCGGTGGCGAAGAACAAGCCATGACCCTCCTCAACGAGCACCACGGCGCCGTCTTCCACCAGAAGGGCCGCTGCTGGGTGATTCACCCGGACCACGCCATCGTCAAAGGACTGGCCTGGTCCACCAACTCCACTCCACCTGACATGTAACACCACATTCCATCACCTCCAAACAACTACCACCTCCACCTTCACTCTTTGTCTCACCCCACCACACAAACCTTCGCCCACAGCAGCGAAAAGACCTTTGCAGCAGTCCCGCGGCCCTTTCGCGTTTTCAAGTTTTCAAGCTTTGGCGGTTTTGCTTTGCAGAATACTAATCCGAACCTTTTACTGGTTTTTTCAGATGATGTCTTCAACATATGAAGGTGCTTTTTGCCATTGATCTCTCAGTCGGACCTGCATTTTTTCTGACCATGCTCGCGTGAATTTTGTGCTCGATTAATTCATACGCATGGCCTCGTGATGACGTGCTGATGCTGACCAGCTGCCGCCCAGCTACTTTGCCGCGCTGCAGCAGCAACCTGTGACGAACCCCGGTGACTATACATCCCTCTTCGCCCACATCATGAGCAGCACAGTGCCACCTCCACACCACGACACACAAACTCTTTTACACCAAACCACTGTGACACTCTCGCAGGTCCAAAACCTGCTACGACAAGCAACTGACATCATAGCACACCTCCACACCCACTTTCTCCACCACATCCGCCAAGCGGATCCCACTTTCCGCCAACATTTTCAACCACTACCACCACCAGCAAATCACCCTATACGCCTACCGTCCTCCACCTCCTCCTGCGATTCAGCACCCTCCAGACCACCTATCCGCTTGCCACCACCACCCTCCAAAGACTCCGACGACACACCTTCACCTACCCCAACCCCAAAACCTGCTACAACCCGCAAGCGAAAGCAGCCTCCACCACCACTACCTAACCAGCAGGCAGACTGGGACGCATGGGATGGCGACGCCGATTGTCGCCTCGTTGAACTCAAAGGCAATCCTCGACTCCGTCCCAATTGGGTGTTTGTTGCTCGCCGAGTTGGCTTCTCCGTCGAGCAGTGTCAAGCCCGCTGGAAAGAGCTCCAAGACCTGCAACATTTACAGGACCAACAACTCTCCTCCAAACCACCACAAGCAGATCCACAACAACAGGAACCTTCCCCCTCACCCACTCCCACCTCACCAGCAGCTTCACCGCCACCACCCTCACAACCGGACTTCTCCCCTTCTCCCAAGACAACACCACCGACATCACCAGCCAGATCACCTACAGCTGATGTGCCACCGCTGCCGGCTGCTGAGCGAGCGCCCACTGAGACCAGGCATACGGAGAAATCTCCAAGCACGCCCCTTGGCAGCTATTTCATGTGATTTGTTTCACCCCCCTCTTTCTCTCCGGCGTGCCACAGGATAAATCCACTGACTTGCAGCCACAATTTGATTCACCATTCTTTTGTACTCACAATACTTTTTTGCAACTGTGAACTTTTAGTCTTTCACGTTTCCAAGGCTCACTCCAGCTCCGCAGCTTTTTGTGCGCC